CTATTATGGCTAATATTTCACGCCGGACAGGCACAATAAATTGCAACTGCACAAATAGGTAGTAGTTATTCACACAGTCAAATTTTCCGTGAAAACATTTTTTGACTCACTTTTTCATGGATGAATTTAGCCCTCCCTTAACCTAAATCCTGACTCAATCACTGAAAATAGTTCCCAAACCAATTTCGTAGCCGCACATTGTCTTTTTATTGGATAAAAATAAAGGACCGAGAAAAATGCTGGCTGTGCCTCCAACTTGTATGCACATTAGCTCGGCAGTCCATGGTCACTAAAGTTGGATCAGTCAATGGTGGTCCGAATCAAACCTAAAAAGGACAGGACATGACAAGTCAGTCACAGTGAAGTAGCAATAGAGTTATGTGATCGGCCCAAATGGGTCAGGATATTTAGGCCAACTTGCATGATGCATGTGGTCAACTTTTCATTCCATTTGAGTGAGCCCAATACAAAATATTTATGCCATACTTATCACCAATCATGCTCGTTAATTGTAATTAATGTAATTAGTGTGGGCCGCTAGCATCGGTCGGTTTAGGCCCGTGAAGATTTTGTTGGCCCATTTCCTATAAAGGGTGTTCACTATCTTTAGTCGATACATATTTTAGAATTCATATTATCTAATTGCTTTAAATGTAGCGTCCTTTTACTTTTGCGCTTTCTAATTAATGTTTATACTTTTAATTTATCTAATCAAATTATTTAACTTTCCATAAATTTTGTAATTAGGTCTCTCTGACACCGAATTCGGTCAAATCCAGCTGACCTAGCCATCGGTTGATACCAAAAACATGAGGTGGATAAAACTTAGTCATCTTGGACACTGACAAGAATGCTGCGATGGAAAAGTTTAACGAAGCCAATAACATTAGAGTATGATCTGAATGAAATTGAGCCAATGTGGACGTCCAATTTGGAAAAACTTTGTCCACGTCACACTTTGATGGCAACGCTAGCTGATTTGGAGGTTTTTGGTGTTGGAGGAACTTAATTAGAAAATTTGTGAAAGTAAAAAGATTTGTTTAGACAAATTAAAAGAATAAGAACTTCATTAGAAAAAGCGTGAAACTACATGAATGAAGAATATAATTTATATTTAAATTTTTTAGAATGAGGTTGTCAATTTAGCTGGATTCGGTTTCAATTTGAATTCTTTGGTAAATTTATTAATGAATGAATAGTTGTTCGGGTAATGGGGTCTAGTTACATACGCAACCAGAAGAAAATAACATAAATCCATTATGTCGAATTTCAAAAAACTACTTATAGTTCTCTTTTCAATCTAATCATACTTGGTATATAAAAACTGTTTTATAAAGTTGATTTACAAATCAAAGTGGCAAACTGCAAATTTGCATTCAATTAAGGGACTGCTAGTCGATATGGACATGTCATGTCAATTATCCTGCGATGATTTTGCAATCGAATTAAATATTTTCAGCATTATCCTTTTCAATTTAGTCTGGAAATGTCAGTTTAACAGGTTGAGCTTTTCAATTATGGGACTGCTAGTCGATATGGACACGTGATATATGGTTTGACATAATGCACTTCATATTTTGACAAACTTAATATCACTCAATGTTCGATTCTTTCATGTTAATACCATTTTAAATAGGTCCAAAAATAATTTTCCAAGAACCTGCACATTTTCTTTTTTATTGGTGAAAGAAAAAAAAAAGAAATATTTGGGGTTCCCTCCAACTTGTATGCACATTTGCTTGTGCGGTCCACAGGGAAAAGTGTCAGAAAAGTCATAAACTTTTTTGCATTTGTACCAATTGAGTCCTCAATCTTTTTTTGGTGTCAAAGTCTTAAACCTTTTGTCTTTGCCCCAATTTAGTCCTTCGGGCTAATTTTGATCGGATTTTGCTGATGTGGACGTCGGTCTCCATGGCACGGCCGGCACTAACATGGATAGTTTTTAATAATATTTTAATTTTTTTTGAATATTTTTATTATTTTTATGATTTTTTCTTTTTTCTTTCTTTTTCTTTTCTTTTCCTCGTCTCCCTCCTTACTTCAGCCGGTTGCGGGTCTGGCGACCGGCCAGAAGCCAGAGGTCGGCGAGGCTCGCCCTCGCCAGATGGCCACGAGAGAGGCCTTGCGCTCGGCGAGGCTTGACCCTCGCCAGCCCAGCCAAAGGCCACCCTAGCCAGCGACAGCGAAGGCGAACCTCACTCAGTTGCTGGCGAGGGCGAGCCTCTCCCTTGGCCACCCTCGCGGCCATCCAGCGTGGCTCGCCAGAGGCTGGCGAGGTCGACCTCGCCTGTCGCCGGCTAGAGTAAGGTGGGAGAAAAAGAAAGAAAAAAATCAATAAAATAAAAATAAAATATTAAAATATTATTATAAATTATCCACGTCAGCGCCGGCTATACCACGTAGGCCGGCTGGCGTTTACGTCAGCAAAATCCGGTCAAAATTAGCCGAAATGAATGAATTGGCACAAAAACAAAAGATTTAGAACTCAATTGGCACAAAAAAAAGGTTTATGACTCAATTGATACAAATGCAAAAGGTTTAGGACTTTTCTGACACTTTTTCCACGGTCCATATGATCAATAAGGTCGGATCAATCACTGGTTTCCAAATGTAACTAGAAAAACACAATCGACAAGTCAATTACTGAAAGCGGCAGTCGGATCCTTGTAATCGGCCCGAATCGGTCGTGATATTTTGGCCAACTTGTACCATTGTGTATCAGCTTTTTATCATTCCACGTGAGCGAGTATGATAAGCAAGGGATTGAACAGTAAGAAGGCCAACAATGGATAATTTATGCCATGAAATAGCAACATGCGTCCTCGATAATTTACCCTATTTATCACCACAAGCATGCTCATGTGTATTGGAACTACATGCATAATAACGAGTTTGTGGATTTGGCTCGATTTGGTGTCAATTTGAATCCTTTAGACTAAATTTAATTAGACTTTCTTTAAGTTGCAAATGGTCATGTAACTCTGAGACTGAGGTACAAGTCAAAAGGTTTCAACATAACCATTCCTCTTTGATCTTATTCGGTCTGGCAATATTATTCACCCTTCGGTTGTCCATTTAATTGGGTTATATACTCATATATTTTATCTTTTCAATACCTCTATTTAAGAAAAATCATCAAAAAGAGAGTCAAAGTTAGAACCTAGAACCTATTATCATATATATCCATTAGAAGCACCTTCAAGAAAAAATATTCAAAACCAATGAGCTATTCACCAATCGGACATGGTACCTAATTTTCTAACGTCCCTTTTTTTATGGTGCATGTACTGTCCACGGTAACTTCTGAGTCTCTTTAACTTGTGATTTGTGAAACAGTCCCATGAATTAACTGTACGACGACACCTGTTTACGTCTTTAACATTGTTCTTTGGCTTGCAACTGAGTCGACGGTGTTAGTTTCTCCGGTGAACAACGACAATGGAGGCTCTTAGGATGCGTATGGTAACGTTTCTATTTCTGGGAATAATTTCTTTTCAGAAATAGTTTTTTCTATTTCTATTTCCCGGAAGAGTTTCTGAGCAAAATAATGCGTTTGGTAACTGCACAAAATTTCTATTTCTAGAACAGAAATTTGTTTGGTAACTGCACAAAATTTCTATTCCTGGAATAGAAAAAGAACATAAATGCGTTTGGTAACTGCACAAAATTTCTATTCCCAATTTTTTACATTCAAATCTATATCTTTTATTTAACTATAAGTACAAGTTATAAGTGAAAAAAATCAATAAGCATGATTTATTGGTTTGTCTAATCCTTTTTAAGGGTTTAAAACCACTTTTAATCCCTAAACTAAGGAATCTTCAAAAATACCACTTGGGCACCTCAAAAATTTAAATTTCACTCAAAGTGGGTGGCCACAGGTATTCTAAGCCATTATGTGAATTTTTTTATATTTTTTTGGGGAAAAATTTATTAAAATTTTTTACTTTCCCTAAATCTGTTTCTTTTTATTTTTCCGAAAATTTTTTATGAAATTTTTTTAATTTTTTCAATTTCGGAATTTTGCAAATATTTAACGGTTTTCTGAGTTTTTCTGATTTTTATGGATTTTTTTAGAATTTTTTTGATTTATATGAATTTTGGGAATTTTTTAATTTTCTAATTTTTTATGGGATTTTTCTGAAATTTTTCTAATTTTTATGAATTTTCGGAATTTTTTAATTTATTCTAAGCCATTATGTGAATTTTTTATTTTTGTTTTTTTTTTGGGGAAAAGTTTATTAAAACTTTTTACTTTCCCGAAATTTGTCTCTTTTTATTTTCCAGAAAGCTTTTTATGAATTTTTTTAAATTTTTTCAATTTCGGAATTTTGTAAATTTTTATGGGTTTTATGAGTTTTCTGATTTTTATGGATTTTCTGAGAATTTTTCTGATTTTTATGAATTTTTGGAATTAATTAATTTTTTATAATTTAATTAATTTTTTATAATTTTTTATTATTTCCGTCGAGAATGGACCGGACCAGTGCTTTGAGACGGTTTGCAGACGACGAAGGATGGAGGAGGAGCTGAGGTCACGACTTGAGGACTGGACCTTTCTATTTCTATTTCTATTTCTAGGAACAAAGAAGTAGATTTTTTCTACTTCTTATTTCTGCTCCAAATCTATTTTTTAGCCACTTTTCTATTCTAGGAAATAGAAAAATAAAATGCGTTACCAAACGAATTTATGTTCTTTTTCTGTTCCAGGAAACAGAAGAACAGAAAAATAGAGAAACAGAAGCGTTACCAAACGCGCCCTTAGTCACGGTTTGGATGGAGTTTACAATTATCATTTTTTTCATGTGTTTCTGCAACATTTAACGAACTTTTTTTGTATGGAATATTATTTTTTGGATTTATTCCACAACTTTTTACAAAGTCCTACGATTCACGATTCGCATGAACGATCCACACGATTGTACAACACTGCTTTGCACTTTTAATATTTTTTATACAGCAACACTAATCAGCTACCACGGCTATTATGTCGCGCAGTTTCAAGGCCTGATTGGAGAAATATGTTTCCCAGCTATCTTTCTGACTTCCGTCTTTGCTCGCAGAAAAGATCTAAGATATCGCAAGTTACTCATGACTAATCCGACCACTATGCCACATACTAATCCTATTTCCACGGCCTCCGGTTCGATAAAATCTGCAAAGAACGAGTGAACCCCACCTTCAGGTAGGACAGGAAGCTCCCCCGGCGCCCTGGAATTAGTACAAGTTTTGGACAATGGAAACCCGCACAATCCCGGGTTCCCGAGATAGGATTCGGCTTGAAATGTGTCGAATTGTTTCCCTCGAGGAATCGATCCGGTTAGTTGATTGGAAGAGACATTTAGGACCTCCAGAAACGTGAGATTTGTCAATTCGGTTGGTAGCGTCCCATTTAGCTCATTTGAAGAAAGATCCAACCATTCAAGCTCGGAAAGGTCCCCCAAAGATGATGGTATATGGCCTTCGAGATTATTATGAGAAAGGTTGAGCCCCTTGAGTAATCCTAGTTCTCCTATAACATCAGGAATCATTCCCTGGAACTTGTTGCTTGATAGATCAATGGTTGTCCGGGTCACTAGGATTTTAGGGAGATACACTTCAAGTCCTTTCATCATCTCATTCATGGAATCCTGGTAGTAACCTTGGTCTATGTATCGCAACCCAGATCCATCCTGATCATTGGACATCATCGCTTTCAGCTTTGCAAAGTAGGCGCCAGGCAAAGGACCGGTGAACTCATTGGAGGAAAGGTAGAGAATGCGCAACCGCGGAAAAGGAAATTCAGTTCTGGGGTTGCCTATGGAGCCGTGAAGTCTGTTCGATCGCAAGACCAAGACCCGCAGGCTAGGAAGTGTTTCCAACCATTTTGGAAAAGTGTCGTTCAACTTGTTACCGCCGAGATCTAGCAGTTCAAGCTGCTTGCAATTGATTAGAGAGCGCGGCAACGGGCCTTCAAATTGGTTTCCATTGAGGTGAAGACTTCTCAGGACAGCTTTTTCACTGAATGTGAGTGAGATTGTGCCGGAAAGTCCATTTTCTTGCAGATCCAACACTAAAAGGCTGTGGCTGATGTTCCCTAGACATTGAGGGATTGTTCCAACGAAATTGTTACGAGAGAGGTCAACAATTTGTAGGCCCTTCGTTTCACAGATAGAACCAGGGATATAGCCAGTCAATTGATTGCTAGCTAGCGAGAAGACGAGAAGAGAGTTTGGGAGTGATGGAGGTGTAAGCGGTCCTGGTATCAAGTTTGAATGCAGGTCAAGGATTATAAGATTTTTCCATGGAACTTGTTCGAAGCTAGTGAGGAGGTTGTGCGAGAGATTGAGATAAGTCAATGACTCGGTCCCGACACCCCACATCCATGACGGGGTATCGCCATGGATTTTGTTGCCCGACAGGTCTATATATCCTACACTGGTTGAATTTCTCAAGATTGCAGGGATTTCAGTAATATTGCACCCAGAAAGACTGACTTTTGAGAGGTTTGGCATGTCATGCTCGACATATTTGCTATTGCTCATTGACAAATCGTTGTCTGAAAGATCGAGATTCATGAGACTTTTGAGTCTTGAGAGCAATTGTAGGTCTAAAACGCCGGTCAGGTTATTTGCTGAGATACTCAAGTCAGTGAGGTTGCCAAGCTGAAAAATCGAGCTCGGGATTGAGCCATGCAACTGATTACCACTCAGGTCAACATGGACTAATGACGGTGCACCGAGGAACTCACCGATTTGACCACTGAGCCCATTGTTACTAAGGTCTAGGCTCGTCAAGGATGGAAGAGAGAACAGTGATGATGGTATAGACCCACCAATGTGGTTATTGGAAATGTCAAGTTGGGCTAGACTGGAAAGATTCTTTATGCTCGGAGGAATAAAGCCTGCGAAGAGGTTATGCGAGAAAAGCAGTTTTTGAAGTTGTGTCATGTTGTTGAAGACATCAGGTATTGGACCTATGAGATTATTGGAGGAAAGATCGAGCAGCATGAGCTGATCAAGGTTTGACAGAGTTGGAGGAACCTGACCACTAAGCTCATTGAATGAGAGTTCCAATCTAGTGAGTCGTGTGAGGTAACCGAGTGACGATGGAATAGAGCCAGTGAAATTACACTGGTGTAGCCAGAGGATCTCCAGAGAATGCAGGTCGCCCATGGACTCTGGTAACACTCCAGAGAAGCCCGTGGAGGACAAGTCCAAAACCTTCAAAGAGCTATTCCAAGTTGATTCGGGTAAGTAACCCACAAGCTCCTTGTTGCCTGATAAATCGAGACATGCCAGCTTTGGCAAAAGGAAAAGTTTTGCTGCTAACACGCCGCGTAATTTGCAGGAACTGAGGCTGAGGACTTCCAGAGATGGAGAGAGATTCATTAAGTGACTCACGTTAATGCCAGACATGTTTAACCCATCGAGAACGAGGACTCTTAACTTGGTCAAATTTTGAAGCAGCATGTTTGAATTCGACCCTGATGGCCTTTCTGCTTTGTGAGGAGAAGAAAGAGTGACCGGACCCAATGTAGATAGTTCAGTGCTGTTTGAAGACCCTGCAGAGGAGTAGCAGGTCGGGTTCGGGGGGTAGCAGCCAAGTTCAAGGTGAATCACATGACCAGTCATATGATCGCAAATGACTCCGGCCCACGAGCAACAATCCGCATCAGCGTTCCAGGAAAGCATCTTTGGTCTACTGCGCCAAATGCCATCCGTTTGACAGGAGAAAGGTGTCGAATTATTCGGCATTACCGCATTCATGAATTGAAGCAGGTCAGACTTTTGATCAGGCTGACAGGGCGCTGCTGCCCCTAGAGAGGAAGGAGAGAAAAATGATGAGTTAAGGGCTTGTATTCCAATGAGGAATGAGAACAGAAGCAGGACAATCAGACAAGATCCTGCCAAGCGTTCCATGTTTTATTTAGAGAGAGAAGTGCATTAGCTGGCTGTGATATCAACATTGGGCAGAGTTGGCTTATGTAGATGTGTTGGTTGTTGAAAGCGCCCCCTAGAATTTTAGAAATTTACGTTACTCCTCGAGACATTGTACCGCATGAACTAGGAAATTCCTCCGTTGTTTTCTTCAACCACGTAGGATCCTGGAAATACTGACGGTGGCCAGTAGTCAGCTGTTTATTCTTGTATATGTGAAACGTGCTCATTCCAACGATGTGATTCTTCGTTGATGAGCCAAAATTAAATCACCATCGGGATCTTTGAGCGTGAAATGCAACCTGGCATTTGTCCATAATATTGGAAAATTGCAAGGGGAGATGATCCAACATTCCACATAATACGGAAGGTAATCCTACAAACGGATGAGAAATAAAACGTTGTAGAGGTCGCTGCAAGTAACAGAACACCTTTGCTCCAACCGGAAGTGAACATTAGACAGGACTTGCTTTTGGGTGTCAACCTCCAGAATAGACATCGATTGCTTTTGTCTATTACAAAGCAGAAAGAGATTGCTTCTTCTCGTTGATATGTATATCGTTCGAAAAGATCTGAGTGTTTGATCATTCCAGGGTACATTAATCCTTTTCTTGAGGTAGATTTGATTCCCGTTGTGTATGAGGGTGGAGAGGGAGGTACCTTTTTACCTAAGTTCTAGCGAGTTGCTACCAGCTAGCAACGAGGCTTTGTTTGTTGACTGGGTACTAGAGGTTCCTCAAATCCTTACGTTGTTGTTCTGACATCAGAGTCACCCTAAGCAAACCACACGCTTACGCATATAAATCCATGTTTTGGGTGGTTAAAGTCTGCGGAAACAAAATGATGTTGACGAGTAGGAGGATTCTAATTGGGCCTCATCCGAGCCGTTTGGAAAATTTGTCATTCTCCGCTGCTTTTGTGCATTCGAGGAATCGCTCAACTACGTCACTGTTTTGGACATTGATTCTATTTTTTGTTAGTCAGAAGTCAAATTCTTCAGAATTCACTGTTAGAAAGAAGATCGTTTGGAGCACGTAACTGGACCGGATGGAATCCAAGATTCGACTAACTCAATGTTGGGAAAGTTCCCCGTGGACAAGCGACCTCGAGATCATGATATGTTCATACAATTCTATAGTTATCTATCTGCTTACTATTCATTTTTACCATATGCTTTCTTAGATGAAATTGAGATCCAACGTTAGTATCCAATTTTATCTCGTGTTTTTTTAAGGTTTGTTTGATGTGTAAAACGATAGTGCCCAATCATATATTTACCCTTCCACTTCTTGCAACTCCTCTTTAAACAGTGACGTAGTTGAGGGATTCCTCAAATGCACAAAAGCAGCAGCGGAGAATGACAAATTTTCCAAACGGCTCGGATGAGGCCCAATTAGAATCCTCCTACTCGTCAACATCATTTTGTTTCTGCAAACTTTAACGACCCAAAAGTTGGATTTACATGCGTTAAGTGTGTGGTTTGACTAGGCGTCATTTCGCATGCAATATTCGAGTGACTCTGATGTCAGAACAACAACGTAAGGATTTCTGGAACCTCTAGTCCCAAGTCAATAAACAAAGCCTCGTTGCTAGCTGGTAGCAACTCGCTAGAACTTAGGTAGAAAGGTACCTCTCTCTCGACCCTCAGACACAACGGGAATCAAATCTACCTCAAGAAAAGGATTAATGTACACTAGATAAATCAACACTGAGGATATTGAAATCGATTTGAAAACATCGGGAGGGTTTATACTAAACTTAAAACATTAGGAAGCAAGTTGCAAGGACCCTAAAAGCCTGAGGGGCAAATAGTAAGTTTCACGAAGTCGAAGCAATGGGCAATGGGCAAGTGATGTGGCAAGAAATGAGGGACGGTTTTGGCAATTGCCTCACGAGTGGGATTATTACCCAAAAAGTATTTATGTCAATTCGGTTTTAACCTTTTAATTTGGCCAATTTAGTAAAATATTTTTTAAATCATTTATTTTCACGGAACAAATGGATCCTTAGGCTCCGTTCGTTTCACGAAAAACAATTTCTACAAAAACGTTTTCCTGATTTTCCGGCATTCGTTTCACAGAAAATAAACAAGTCATGGAAAACATTTTCCCTTGATAGAAAAAATACTTTCAAAAGTGAGAAAAATGTTTTTCCTCTTTTCAAAAAGAGGAAATCATTTTCCGTTCCCTACTCCTTTCACCATTCATTTTAATTATCTTTATTTTTTTTAAATAGATTTTTTAATTTTTTTCCTTTTTTTTTTTTTTACCTTCTTCTCTTGCCGGTCGCCGGCCACAGGCGAACTTGTGCAGCTCGACGTCGCAAGGGTGGCAAGCCTCGAGCTCGCTAGAGGGCGGTGAGGCTCGGGCCTCACTAGATCGGCGCTCGATCGCGCAAGGGCGGCTAGGCTCGAGGCCTCGCCTATGGTTGGCGAGCGAGCTCGAGGCCTTGCGAAGTCGCGGTTTGCCTCGAGCTCATTCTCGCCAACCTTGGCGAGGCCTCAGTCTTGCTACCCTCTAGCGACACTCGAGCTCGCTTGTGGCCGGTCGCCGACCTTCACCGTGGCCGAGGACTAGCCGGAGAAGAAAGTAAAAAAAAAAAAAAATTGATAAAAAAGAAAAAAATTATTAAAAGTAGTGTATAGAGGAAAATCTATTTGATTTTCCATACCGAACGGCGAAAAATATTTTCCGAGTCTTTTTCAGATTTTAACCGAACATCGGAAAATTGTGTTGTTTTCCTTGAAAATGACTTTTTATAAAATATTTTTCAGAAATGTTACATTTTCCGTGAAATGAAGGGACCCTTCGTTCTCAATATTTCCTCTTTGACTGGACTAACTCATTTGGAACAAAAATTTCTCATTCTAAACAATTTATAATTGGAAATCCTATCAAAGGAAAAGAAAACATTGACAAAAACCAAGTAAATCACATGATATTTCGTGTAACTCTATTTAAGATTGAGGGTGACAGATTCAGACTCAAGGGAACCGCAACTTCAACCTGACCCCACTTGAGTTGAGTAAATGTGAATCACATTTAGTCAATTTATTTTTTCATCCGTCCTACCTTAACCCTTCTCTCTCAAATTTTTATCCTGAATTTTTTACGGAGCGTGAAAATTGAACTCACTCTTAAAAATAAACGTTCCCATCCCGCCCAATTCCCTTACCACTGAGCCGCATGCCCATTGGGTATTTAGCCAATTTAATTCGAATCCAAAATTACATACCCTTTATAAAATCCAAATATTAAAGTAACCACCAAAACTAATCACACTCACACTAGAATGAACCAAGTTCGTTGTTAGCTGGATATTGAAGTAAACCGAACTCGATGCAACTCAACATGTTGTGAACGGAAAAGATGAAATATGTGTGTCATTTGTTGATATAAGCATTACCAAGATGATTTTGAAATATTAAGAAGAGCACGAGAATCGTCGGTTTCACTATAGCATGACAGATAGAGAGAGCTTGTTCTATCCAGTATGATACTTTTCGAAATTTCCTAGATAGTGCCAAATGTCTTCTTTCAAAGTTCACACTTGACAAAAAATGAATCAAATGTTAATGTAGGATGTTTATGTATGGTCATCACATAGAATCCGAATTGTTATTTGACAAAGACAAACCCAATGGAGTAATATCTAATATGACATTCATTCATAGAAGTATCAAGACCTCAACCACTGGAACAAAATTCCTCCAGCAAATTGAGAAAATTGTCCAAAAAGTCCTAAACTTATTGCACTTTTGTCAATTCAGTCTTAAATATTTTAATGTGCCAATTAAATCATAAACATTTTTCACATTTTGTCAATTAAGTTTATCCGATCAATTTTGGCTATAAATCGCTAACATAGAGCTAGCCGTCCTATGCGGCACGATCGGCACTAACGTGGACAATTTTTTTATAATATTTTTTTTGAAATTTTGTTATTTTTTCTTTTCTTTTTCCTTTTTTTTATTTTCTTCTATTTTCCTTCTTTAGTTTTTTTCTTTTTTTTTTCCTTTGCTCTTCTTTTCTTTTCTTTTTTTCTTTTTTTTATTCTTTTTCCCTTTTTCCTTTTGCCGGCCATAGCTGGGACTCGTCAATGCCGCCGGCCTCAGATGAGGGCCGCCCTCATTGGCTTCGGGCAAGGGTTGCGGAAGGGCAAGCCTTTGCTGGATCGGGTGAGCGCAACCCACACCCGCCTAGGCAAGGGCTGCCCTCGCCAGGCTAGGCATGGGCGCCTCTTGCCTAGGTTGGCGACCTCCACTGGCCACCGATGAGCCTCGGTGATGGCTAGCAGAGGAAAAAAGGGAAAAAGAAAAAAGAAAAGAAGAGAAAAGGAACAAAAAGGAAAAAAAAGTAAAGAAGGAAAAGAAGAAAAGAATAAATAAATAATTTAAAAAAATATTATAAAAAATTATCCACGTCAACGCCGGCCATGTCACGATGGTCGGTGTCCACGTCAGTGATTTTCGGCCAAAATTGGCCGGATGCACTTAATTGGCAAAATGTGAAATTGTTTAAAACTCAATTAGAACAATTAAAAGATTTATGACTGAATTGGCAAAAGTGCAATAGGTTTAGGATTTTTTGGACAGTTTTTCCAAACAAATTAGAATACAATTGCGCTAGCCATTTTGTTTAATTATAATATATATTTTACTAACTTTAGGCGGACCTAATTAATACCCATAACCAGCATATCAACATCGAATTTTCTTCAATGTAAGGATCTGGAATCTTTAAAGTGAATCTCTTGAGCATCTTGCTCGTTCCAAATGTTGAAATGACGAAATTTATTAAACAGTAGGCACACCCATG